AAATATATGAAAAATTGATGTGGGTATTCAAATGAAAGGTTTTAATGAGTGTAATCTCGGAATGAGCTTATATTTTTAAAAATGTCAACAGTTTACAAGATAATTATTAAAAAGCTCTGTACTCTCTTAAATATTGCTCTTTTTAAAGATATAAGCTCGTTTCAAAGTTACACTCATCAAGAGCTTTTTTTTTAGTACCCACATGCATTATTGATATATTTTTCATATATACATATATATGTGTAATATATATAAATATATAAAAAATTGATGTGGGTACTCAAATGAAAGGTCTTGATGAGTATAAGCTCAGGATGAGCTTATATCTTTAAAAATGTCAATATTTTCCAAGATACATGGTCTTTTTTTAGAGATTAAAATTTTGAAATTTCTTTTAGTTAATTATAAGAGAATAAAATAAACTACTTCACGGTAACAACTCCTTTTATCTAAAATAATAAAATTACGAGTAAATAGTTGGGCAAAACAAATATAAAGATAAAAATCAGGTAAACTCGTCAGTAATACGTTGATTAATTTCCCCTACTGTAACAAGCAACAGTATGTAATTTGTCTGGTTCAGTAGGGGCAGGAGCCTAAAGGATAATTCCTCGGTGAAATTATAGGGGAAAATGGCATGATAGTCTACTCGAATTCTCCGTCGAATTACAGGATTACGAGCATACAAATCTCGATGCATATCTTCAGAAGTACCTTCTTTGCCACTAATTTTTACGGTTAAAATAAAAAAAAAAAAATAAATAAAAATAAAAAATAAAGTTAAAATAAAAATATCTAAATTCCGTTTTCGTATCAAAGGTAAGACCTGAAATAATTCAACTACTGCGAAACGCAAATATTTCTGCGGTTTTTATTATACGGAAAAGTAAAAAGTATAAAAACCGTGGAGAGAAGAGAAGGCGAGGGTGGGGGGATGTAGCCTTGCGGTATATGCGTAAAAGCGGAGATTACAAGGTAAGTAAATAAGGGTGAGTGAGGCAAGACACGAGTACGCTGAGTGGCAAAAGAGAATAAGGAGCAAAGAAGAAGAGGCTAAGGGTAAAAGGGGCGAGGTATTCTCTCTCTACACAGGCGAATATATGCTTACGAAGCTTTAAAGCTCATGGTGCGGTGATGGTAACGCTTAAAAGGGGTTGAAGAAGAGCCGTCGACGGTATAACGGGAACGAGAGAGCTCCGGGGGCTCCTGTGGGTCAGAAAGGAAGGAAGAGGGTCAAAGAGTGAGCCACGGGAACCAGAAGAGCTAAGAGAGGACTTTGCGGTCTCCTTGACTCAAGTGACAGGTTCCTACTCATCCTCTGTACTCTTGTAGTACTACTTATTCATGTAGATTAAGGGTTAGATTTTAAACTAGTTTTATCGATGCCATTTTGTTCAACAGCCCTTCCGCCATTTTACTTCATGCCGACGATACTTTGTTACGTCAGAGAGGCTTGAGGCTAAAGAATTCATTAATTTTAGTTCAAATTTGATTTTTAGTTCTTGGTTTTGCCGCTATGTGGCGCATAGTTGTTTTTTTTTCTCGCTTGTAGATACTTAGAACCAAATTTGTATATTTAATAACAAACTTTTTAGACTTTAGTAAAAAATACCTCTATTTTCAAAGTATAGTTCTTAGTTTTACCGCTAGGCGGCAATGTCGTTTTTTTTCTCACTAGTAGAAACTTTGAACGAAATTTATTTATTTGATTCTAACAATTGTTTTTTTTTTTTTAATAAAAAAATTGAATATTTCATTACAAAATTTATATATTTAATTAAAAATCACTCATCATTACCAATTAGTTCTTGGTTCTGCCGCTAGGTGGCGAATAGTCGTTTTTTTTCTCACTTGCAGAGACTTAGGACCAAATTTATATATTTAATCCTGAAAATTGTTTTTTGTTTAATTAAAAAAAATTGAACGTTTCGTCACAAAATTTGTATATTTTATTAGAAATAATTTTTTTTACCGCTAGATGGCGTAAAGTTATTATTTCTTCTCGCTTGTGGAAAATTAAAATGAAAGTTTTATATTTAACTCTCACAATTTTTATTATAATAAAAAATGAAGGATTATTTTATAAAATTGATATATTTTATTAAAAGTCACTTGTTATTAAAAATTAGTTCTTGGTTTAGCCGATAGATGGCGTATGGTCGTTTTTTCTTCTCGCTAGTAGAAACTTCTAACGAAGTTTATATATTTAAAAAAAACAATTTTTTTTTTTTTTTTCAATAACGTTTTATAGGAAATAATTTTTTACGTCTAAAGTAAAATGATCTTACAGCCATTCAAGGGTAGATTGATTCGCATTAAATGGTCCGACGTTTTTTTAATGAAAGCATTAAAAAATCTTATCACTTCTTAACGTGAATGAGTCTCCGAGGTTAAAGGGTAGACCATTAAGGCGACAGTTGGAAATATAAAAAATAAAGTAAAAAAAACATATAATCCCTAGATATCGGATCTGTTGCCGGAATAATGGAGGGCATTATCCGTTAAAGATTAGAGAGCCTCGTAATATTTTAACTGCTGGGTTTATACCAACGCACTGGGTGAGTATATAGCTCATACGCCGTCTTATTGTGGACATTCGTGCAGTTACGCCAGAAAGTAACGATAAAAATGTATGAAAAAGAATTGTAAGTTGGATAAAAATATTATTTAATGAGGCCTTTTATAAGTAAGTAGATTTTTCCGGGTTATATTTAAAAGCTAGGCTGTATTGATAAAAATTCTTTAAGGGGAGGAGGTATCGGAAAATCAAACTCGTCAACTAGGAGAATACAGAACCGTAGAATCCACTTAGGAAGGTTTGCCCGATCTACTCAACTCGGGAACTTGAAATACTAAACTTCAGAACTGAGGTTGCTTTTCGAGTAATACCTTCAACCGCTTGCGCGCATCTAATCGGATCTAAAATACCTATATATGTATATAAATATATAATATATTTCATTGATAAATCTCCGAAAAAATTCTTATTATTCTTATTCTTTTGCTCCGTATCCCATCCAAAAATTTGTCCGGCATTCTGTTTAATATTTAAATCATGCCGGACATTATTATTAGAAAATTCTCATAAACTGATGTATAGCCTCGAGCGGACAAATTTATTTGCATAGCTTTGTGAGTGGACGGAGCTATTTTATAAAACGGCTTTGATTTTTTTTTTTGTTTACTTAAATATTTTTGTTATTTAATGAGACTATTATTAGGTAAAATATAACATTATCGATATGCTAGAGTGAAAATGGATTTTTAATGCCTTCGTCAATTATCGATTCTCTATTGCTAAAATTTTCGAGTAAAAAAAAATTCTAGGGCTTATTTTATTGATAAATTATTGAACAGCGATACAAAACTCATTTCGATTTCAAGTAATAATTTAGCGCCGGAAGCTTAATAAACTATTCCAATATGGGAAATTTTAGTTACGTAGTCGGTTAACAATTCACTATTTTCATGTGGAATTATTTAACTCGGGTTTCCGAATCGATAGTTAGTTTCTTTGATTCGCAGAGAGTCTAATTGCATTTACACATTTTTAAATGGGTTGAATATTTAATATTAAAATGCAACTGCGACAGAATTTTTACTGTAAAATTTACATGCTTAAAAAAAAATTTTTTTAATATTGCCATATATGATTTATATGGCATTAAATTTGCCATATTGAACCAGAAATCGGTATTTCAATTTCCATTTAGCTTGATATTTCGATATTAGGATTGATATGATCATATATGGTTTTAATATGGCCATATATGGCATATATGGCAATATATGTGATCAACTATGGCCATATTTAGATTCAATTTGGTCTATCATCATGTATATGGCCATATATGATTTTATATGGCCTGATATGGCATGAAAATTTGCCATATTAAACCAAATACTCACATATTTAGCTGGATATTCCGATGTTAGACCTAATGTGATCATATATGGCCTTATATGATTATATATGGCAATAATGGCCGTATGTGATCAAAATGGCCATATATTTGGCATTATATGCCGATTTTAAAGTTGGTATGATCATATATGACCATATAAATGGCTTGAAATAATCATATATGGCCTGATGTGATCATATATGGCTTGTTATATGGCCTGATGTGATCATATAAGGCAATAATGGCATTATGG